CCCCAAAACCCCAAAACCCCAAAACCCCAAAACCCCTAAATAAAATTCAATGATTGAACTATATTTTCTCCATTCAAAATGCAGCAAAGATAGCTCCAATGCATACTCCGATGGTTAGATGGAATGCCATGATCATTCCTGCTCTTTCTTTATGTTTCTCCTCCACTTGTTGCGGCCCTAGCAGCATCAGACACCCCACATTGTATCCGTTTGTCGCTGCGAACAGCCAGATATTCACTATGCGGAACAAATCAGTCTGGAACACCCAGGCCGGACTCGCTCTCACCTGAACCAGCATACCAGTGACAATAAATATGGATCTGCCTACAGTCAGGAAGATCACATTGCTAGAGTTGAACAATTTAAGAGGGCCTGCAAGGAACCGACCCACAGTATCGCCGAAGGAGAAGACAGAGATTAGGATGATATTAGACCATGCTTTGGAAGAAGCACTATCGTCAAACATATCAAACCTCGTATCTAGATATGTGCCTGGATATACCAAAAATGTAATGAAAAACATGATCACATTCTGAATAGCAAGAGGCAGTATTTTCTTATAAACTTGATAGAACTCGTTCTGTTTCTCTTTTCTTAAAATATCATCGATATCACTAATTTCTATTGTATTATAAGAAGCTCTTGCGCTACTGTTTGCTCGTAAAGAACCTTTAGGACTTTCATCAATGTTTTCCTAGAATTTTAACAGAGATTTACCTCTTCAAGGTCAGAATCATTAGATCTAGCCTGGTTATTGAGAATTTTATCAATTTCAGTCTCTTCTTGCTTCTGGTTGTAAGTTACATATTTCATCTAAATTTAAGCAGAATATTTTACTCTTTCCTTAGCAAAATCCATTTTAAGTAATATTGAAAATCAAATGGTCGATGCGATGAAGAGCACTCAGAACACTGATAAGAAGATCAAGCTATCATAAAATGAGTTCATATCTTTCGCTCCAAGTGACTCATCTGGGGGTAAGATTGCAAGTAGGATCATTTTTACTGAATTCAAAAGCATTCCATTAACTCCTTGGCCTACAAGTAATGCTGTGATATATTTTGGTGGGAAAATACTAGCAAATCCTGACATTCCGCCTTGTACGAAAGAATTTCCTGCTCCATTCAGCATCACTGTAGGAACAAGGGCGTACCATGCCATTGTTTTAGGTAAATATTCTGTAACGAGTGGCATCAGAAAGCATGCAATAATGATCACTGCATATGCCAGATAAATCCTGAACGAAAGAGTTACCCTGGTTGACAGGTAAATTAATAGAATATTACAAACCAACAGTGGCCAATTAAAGAGCAAGCAGAAGAAGAATCCTGGATCGTATTCAGGCTTATACCTTGAATCATAGTAGTCGAGCCCTGCGATGCATGCATCCCAGGCCATCCAGCCAGTAACTCCGAATAGGAAGAAGAACATCAGGACTATATTATACCGATCTTCAGCCTTTGAAAGGCTGCATGTCTTTAACTCATTTGGTTTTTCAAATGTCTTCATTTAATTATATTATTTCTACTTTATGAGCCTTAGGTGGGGTTTTGGGGTTTTGGGGTTTTGGGG